AGGGTGTAGGGGAGCGCATGTAACACGAAAAAGCAGAACAACACCAAAGTCATGTTGAGTAAGCAAATATGCTTATGTGTGTGTGTGTTTGTGTCGATAATATGTAGATATTTAAAAGTATTTTATGTAATAATACTGTTAGTGTACAAAATAACGTCCCTGTTCGAATTCATAAGCATTTGGTCCTGTATTTACGTGTATATTGACAGCGTACCTCCATAGATCATATACAGTACCTCAGAAAAGAATCGACTAAAAACCCAAAAATTTATTTTAAAGTGTAAATGTGCTTCAGTATTTCTGTGAGTGCGGGGAGTCGGGGTCAAAATTGGACGATGGGCGTGACGCCGCCTACTTTTGGGTTAAATCACACATCTCGAGACCTGCCCAACAGAGTTCAACCAAATTTGGCATGTGGTATTCCTCTGACATTTTTATGTCATGGCCGAAATCGGAGTACAACCACGCCTACTTCCCATATAGCATAATTTAAACTTCATTTGAAACTCTTACTTTCCAATTTACAAATCAATCAATGTACACGAGGTGCGCCACCTTACGACCAAAATTTGTTCCAATCGAACCAACTCTGTTCAAGCCCATAGGTAGCGAATATTTGGACCCCAGTATCTTTAGTTGATATTTAATATGTAGATATATTCGGTTATGCCCGAACTTAGCTGTTCTTTACTTATTCTTGCTAAAAGCCTTTAAATTTAGGTACTGAAATATCGAAATTGCATGTCGGAATATTTTTATCCTACACTGTTCAAATTGGTTGTGGTCGCTTTTTTATCGGAACGCAAGCAAAATAGTTGCACAACTCTCTGCATACCAAATTATGAAATGCCACATGGAAAACGGGATGTGCAATATATGAAAGTGGGAATATTTTAATGTGTTTATACACATACATAGATATATCCACACACTTGCATTCGGGGATGTACACATGCGTGACACAATTGCATAGCAGTCAGTAGTTATTTGTGTATCTTGCTGGTGATTCTTTGTATTTTGTCAAAGTAATAAATTCTCTTGCACGCCGCATTTATCATATTTATACATGTGTGTGTGTGTGCTATTATGGCATATTCATTGACATACTCGGACTTAATGTGGGTTCGTGTCAGTTCTTCACACAATACTTAAAGCTTCCCATCACATCACATCGATTGATAAACGTCCACCGATTATCTTTACTTATGGTGAGGAAATTTGCAGTTTGCAGTAAAGTATATAGTATAGCCATAAAAAGAACTTCTCACTCTCAGAGCTGGACTGTTTTTATACATTTGGACGACATGACCTACCCAGCATAACCGCAGTCTCTTAATTCGCTGAATTATGTAAATGTCGTATTATATTTCGTAAAGCTCATCGTTCCATCGACTGACGTTTGAAGTGAAGAATGTGTCTAAACTACGAAAATTTTCGATATTATTATAACCATTCAACACTTATTAGTCTATTACTTCTTTGATAAGAAGAATTTTTACCTACGGAACTCGATTTCTCGCTGAACCCAATAGACCATAGACCATAGACTTGACGTAGCATAGGAACGMGTAGGCTAGGAACTATTCTAATATATTGATTGGGCCATTTCATGAGATAACACGTTCAYAWAACTKGGTTTTTAATAAATCAAATATGACATTGGATGTGTGGCATGTGAAGCCGACCTGCTCGAACCAAGTCCATATTATCCGATTCGGGCCAAAAATATTCGTTTATCATTGAGCGGTAGCGATCCTCATTCACAGTAACGTGCCGGGCTTGAACACGGAATACGGACGGCCCAATGACGCCGCTGGCTGAAGATGATTTTTCAATGATAATTCAGATCATTTTCAAGTTGTTGCTCAGACCAATTCACGAGCACTCGATGATCCTGGTGGTCAAGCGGCTTCAGTTCTTGCATTAATTTGGTCTTGTAAGGATGTACAGAGATGCCCAACGCTTAA